TGTAATTCCTTCTGCAGCATAAAGCTGGACTTTTTCGTTGTTTTTGAAAACTACTTCCAGAAAAGCTCTTTTTCCTCTGGACATATGTATTTTGGCTGCTAGAAAGTCTTCTCCGATACTTGAAGCTAATGCTGTAATGATATCATTAGTTGTGATGTTGTTAAGACTTTGTATATCTAAGATTAGAGCGTTGTTGTTTTTGGAGCGAATTCTTTGTCTAGGGGTAGAGTTTGTGTAGATTGCTTTCCCTCCTTTAAGCTTTGCGAAAAGGTCTGACCATTGTTTAGGTTTGGCATTTTTTGTAGTAGTAGCTTCTATATTTTTAACTTTCTTATTGTAGGTTGTTGCCACATTGTTTGTAACACCTTGCTGAGGTTGGACAGTGTTTTCATCAACTTGTGTGTGTTCTGATGTGATGCTACCAGACACGTGTCTTAGATTATCATCAGAAGGCATGTGACTCCATTGTTGTTTGTTGTTTACTTGAAGTGGGTTTGTTGACTTTTTGGCACTATTATGTGCTTCGTTTTGGTCTAGAAAGCTGATGTTTTCTTTATTTGTTTCAAGAAACTCATTTTCCTCTACTTGGCTGGCCCAGCAAGCTGTACCTTCTATTGCATAGTTATCTGTTAGGTTGTTGGTTTCCTGAATAAAGTTGTTGCTATTTTTTCTTGTTTTTGGAGTTTCTTTCTCGCTGTTTTCAGTTTTTGTAAAGTTAAAGGTTTTTTCTGCTGTTGTGTCAAGCCTGAGCTTTTTGTATTGAGCCTTGTTCATGTTTAAAGACATTGTTTTGCATTTCTTTGGGATAAGGGCTCTTGCCCCGTAAGAGTTCTGAAATGAAAATGTATTAGTTTTTGTTGAAATTTTGGTTTTTGCTTAATTTCCGGAGATGAACCAGAAAGAGTTTTCTGATTTGGATAATTTTACTATATAAAGCAGGCCCATTTTCAAAAATTTCTAATTATTTCTGGCCAAAGTTACATAAGAAGGGGGATTCGTGACAACTAATTTCGGCTTCGACTTTTACATTAAACTGGATAACGAAATTTGATTGGGCAAGACAAATAATGTAAAATATCTGAATATTTATACATCATGTGATGCAACCTTGCATGGTAAAATACAGGTAATCACATATGTATGTAATACAGGCAACCATAATCAGATGGTTTAGGTCACACCAAATGGGGTAAATGCAAAGTTCATTAATTGTCCAACAACAAATCGATTGTCATACGATGTACAACCTAATCATTGAAAATTTCACAAAAAACTACGTTAGCAGTGTAATATTCTTCCTGGTTAGCTATTTGGCTGCTCTTTGCGATGATCTTAATATCTCTGTGGGAACGAACTCGTGAAAGAGCCACATACAGCTGACTGTGAGTAAATACAGGATCCGCAAGGTAAATCCAAGTTTTGAGATCGTTTGACCCTGTGCTTTGTTGATTGTTAGTGCAAAGGCTAACTTGATCGGAAATTGACGTCATCACAACTTAAATGGGAGTTCTGTATCAGATGGTTCAAGAATTATATGTGGAATAAAAACACATTGTCCAGCACAAGAGCCAGTTACGATCTCTGCATCAAGAAAGTGCTGTTGAAATTCTCTGATAATTAGGCGTGTTCCATTGCATAGACCTTTCTTTGCATTTAGGTTGCGAAGTAATATTATTGGTACATTTTTTTTGAGCACTAACTTGTGAGGAGGTACCCCATTTGGAGAGAGTGTGTTTAGGAATTCAGGAAGATAAAGATTACTGTTAAGACTTTCAGGATCAACAACAGAGTCAGCTGAGCAATATGTTTTGCTTCACCAGGGAAGTTGGACAAAATTTTATCATTAATTTCATCAACACCCCAGTTTTTAGTTGTGAGAATAGCATGTTCTAATATATATTGATGATCATTGCATCTAGTTTGAAGATCACCATAGGTGTGAGTAATTAATTCTTGCAAATCTTCATGGAGCATCATATCATCAGGTAAGCGAATATAGTCTTGACTGATGTTAGGGTAAGTTGTCTCCTTGCCCTCCCCAATTTGGAGAAGATAATCAGCAAATTCACGATTTTCAACAACATCAGGTCCGTGCATTTGCTAAAGATGCATGTTCTTTGTAAGTGGCATTGACAAAACTGAATCCCAAAGATATGAACGTTTAAGACTTGCATTGACAATCTGCTGCTGTGATCCACGAAGAACAACTGGTAAAATCTGTCAAAAGTCACCTCCAAGTACTATGAGTTTTCCTCCAAAAGGTTTGTCAATGCCAGTAATATCATGCAACAACCTATTAACAGCCTCAAAGGCAAACTTATGAGACATTGGAGCTTCATCCCAAAGTATCAACTTTGACTTTAGTAAAAGGTGAGCGTGGTCAGATTGTTTTGATAGATGGCATGTTGAAGTTTCTTCTAGATGTAAAGGAATTTTTAAACAGGAATGTGCAGTTCGACCACCCATAAGCAACAACGATGCAATTCCTGAAGAAGCAAGAGCTAGTGCAATGTGATTTCTGATGCGAAAATGAGCTAAAAGAATGGTGTACAAAAAGGTTTTTCTGGTGCCACCAGGGCCATCAACGAAATAAATGGTATGTACAGGATTAGGTTGCTCAGCAGCTGTTATTACAGCATCATATACTGCACGTTGTTCATCATTTAGTAGGGAAATGCCTTCGAGAATTCTCTGTAATTCATCCTGCGAAAAAGTCATTTCCTCTGCAAAGAGCCATGTTTGTCTGTTGATATTTAGCAAATTATGCTGAATGATAGGTAAATCAGGAAAATCTGTGAGGCATTTTTCACATTGTCTAAGGTGATCTTCAATTTCAGCCAATGCGTGACTAACAATTAATGGATTTTCTGATATAGCACTTTTACCACGCTGCTGTGCTTCATATATAAAATCTTCTGTTAGATCGGGCAGATAAGTATCCCAAAGGCTTTTAACATCTGACGGCTGACAATAAATTAATATTGTTGCAAATAAGAGGCGCAGTTGTGAAGGCATCTGAAATAGGCTTGCTTCATATAAACAATTATGCCATTCATCATCATTTTCCAAAAGGCCTAATTGCTGCGCTGCTTGTTTAAATGTTGGATAGGTTATACCATTAACTGTGCGCAGATTCTCGAACAACGTTGGACCACGGATGTGAAATAATAAGAGACATAAACAAAAGCATTCTGAGTCCTTGGAGAGCAAGAATAAATTCTACTAATTACTTTGTTTCCACTTCTTTTTCGACGTATCCAGGATCCTTTTACCTAGCGAAAGAACTTGGGAAATTCTGAATATAAGAGATTTGCAGCCATTGAATCCACTCTACAAACTTCAAAAAATTTTGTAAGTTTTGTGTGCATGGCTATAGATATAACCTCATATAGGTTTGAATTTGGATTAAAATAAACAATTTGTTGGTTTGGGAGGTGCACTTGTAGTCTTTCCACTTTATGTGATCTTTTTTGTAGGTCGTAGGAGAAGATTCACCAGCAGGCTTTGGTGGCAGAAACATATTGAGCATCAAGATATGCTTGGATTTTGTCGCGAGTTACATTTTCAGTACTGCTATTTTGAATGACAACTAAAGCCCAATCATGCCCTTTATACACATATTTGTATAAGTATTTAACTGACATAATAGTAGAACAAATTTCTACATTAACGTGACAGTCATACTTTTGACACAAATATGGATTGTATGGCACTACCCATTTATTTTATTTTAATGTTAACTAATGCCTATTATTATTATATGAAAAGAAGATAAATTACTAAAATACCTATTATCTAATATACAGCCTTTTGATTGAATAGTACATCCGTTATCCTGTCGTCTATATAATGGGTAACCATTTTTATCATTCTGAGTAACGTCAGAAAAACACTTAGGATATTTTTTTGAACAAATTTCATTTTGCATGCATAGAGTGTTTGGTGCCAAACTACTACAAGGTCTGTGCATCATGCACCAGGTGACAGTTTCATAAAGCTGTGGCTGACAATGTGGGTCAGGAATTTCCGTAGACACAATCTTATCATAATTGGAGGGTGATTGTAGTTTATCTTCTTAGGCAAGTATGATTAATATATGTGTATGCAGAAGACCTCTTTTTTGAAATTCGATAACTAACACGAATGCCACAACTTTTCCTAATATTTTATTATTAATGAGGTCATTTAAAATGGCTTTTAACTTGAGATGAAAAACGCGAGCAATGATGTCAGGTCGATCATTTGGTGTCTGGTTATTATAGAGTTCTGCAAGAATTTCGGGCCAATGTGGATTGCATATGACTGTAATAAATAGGCTTGGTTTTCCAAATTCTCTCATGATCGCTATTGCATCCTGATAACATTGGCTCATATACCGAGAACCGCCAGTAAAAGATGAGGGTAGAATTATTCGTCTCCCTATATTGGTGAGATCTTGAAAATCATCTGCAACTGCATCAGCAAGACCTTGGTAAAGTTCAGCACGAATTGCATGTAGGTTCATCCTTTGCCAAAGAAGCCGATTTTGTTCAATCTTGGCATATTGATTGACGACATACTGGTGGAAAAGGCGTGATGCATGATGTAGTATGCCGTTGACAGGACTACATATATGTAAACGGTAAGCGGCATAGTCTCGAATTGTAACATGTTTTCTGTGCTGAGTCTGTCTTAATTCATTGTCTGAGTCTTCGTCTGCAAGATCAATATCATTTTCAGGATCACTTACAGAATTATGTAAGTTTTCTGTGTGGTTAGAGGTGGCACTTGTTGAATAAGAAATACCGGGATGCCAACCAAGTTGACCATATGGGAATAGCAGTGGGTATTGAAGCAGGTCATATGCAGTATGACATTCTGATATTCTTTGCAGTTGGCCTTGAGTAGTGTGGAGAAGAATATCACGACCACTGTTAGCATCATTTTCAATTAGTAAAACCACAACTTCATCTGTAGTAGGTCGGTTATAACGCCTAAAAGCTTTAACATAATTGGCTGACCTCCGCAAACGAACTGGCCAGCACTTCGGAATACTTGAGCAAAAGGATTATGCATATGGAGATCATGCTGAATATCGGTCAAAATATCATGGTCTAAAAAAGAAAACACATTGTGACGATGGCGTAATTTGGCCTCAAAACTTCCATCATATATATATATTTGCAAGAATTTTGGAGTACAATTTTGAGTAAGAAGCTTTATAATTGATTCAGGCGCATTGCCCAATGGAGCCAAAACCACTTTTCCATTGCAACAGCAATTGGTTAAGGACTCCATTGGCCAATGCAAAGCTTGACAATGCTCACAACAAATTGACATTCATGGAAGCATATGTTTGCCACAGACTACATGCTTCCCGCACACAACTGTTGGTTTAAATGTTTCAATTGAGCTCCTAGCAAGATTATAATTTATCCTGGGGCGCCTTTGAACTAATTGGGCTTGAGTAGTTGAGTGAGTAGATGCTGGTGAGTGAACTTCATTATCTATGTAGATCAAGTAATAAGAAATCATGTGAGATGGTAGTTGATTTTCTAGTGATTAAAACTTTGAGTTGATGACTAAAAACAAAACAATCAGGCTTAACAAACCTTCAATAGGGTTGAGTGTAGTCGTATTTAGGCTGTTTAGAGCTTTATAATAATTTTTAACAGCACTGAGCTTTCGGGATTTTTTTCTTCTTCGATCTTCAGGAGTTTCCTCAAGTTTGGGGGTCTTATATCATGTGTCTTGACGAATATGAGGTGGTGTTTCTGGTCTGGTTCTTCTTCGTGTCATTTTTTTTATTTTAAAAGTTTGCAATTTGTTTCATTGTTTTAAAAAAATAGTGAATTTGAGACTTCAGTGGTTTGAAGCCATGTTTCATAAATTGGACGCGAATACGGTCACGTGATGTATGTAACAAATATAAGATTGAAACTGCGCAAAAATCGCTTAATCACCTTACTGCGCAGCATACAGCCCTCAAGTATTTACAAAATTAGGATTAATTAAATAATACCCTTGGAAAACTGTGTGAAGAGGGATACTATACGAAAGAGGAGAGTATTATTGATTCAGACCATGAATGTAATAAATTTGCGGCTGATTCTAAATTTAGGGCCTCGATTTGAAAATATAAGTCTGCTAGAATCCACATATATTCTTTAATTATCAATTCTATCCCTAAATCCTAACCCAACCCAACTCTTAAAAAAAAAAAGAGAAAAGCACTTCCAAACAATGGTATAAAAATTCACAATAAAATAGGTCTGAATTTCCGCATCAGCCACGACAATAAATTACAGTCCCAGGATATTTTTCAAAATGTTAGAATCTAACAATTGAATAGTAACCCGATACTATTTAAAAGGAATACTTTTCAGAGGGTACAGTATATAGCACTGTATGGTAATTAAGTAGTCAATATTTTTGATAATTTTGACAAATTATCAATATAACTTGTCCGAGAACTATGAAATCAATTTTGTGTGATCAAATGATAAGCGTTTTATACTTAAATATAAAATAATATTTTATTTTATCACAACTAAATGAAATTGTTAGGTAGAGATGGATAATAGTATTAATTAATCGAAATAATCCATTTTTCATTATAAATTCAGGGTTATGTTCATGGGTTTATTTTTTTTTTATTAAGATGGAAGTTGTCTTGCATCTTTCTACTAATAATTATTATCTTTTTTTTAATATGAAGCTAATTCTATTAGGTTGATTATTAGAATTTTGCTTTGATCTTATTTTACTTGGAATTAAATTGGAGGTTTAAAATTAAAAGAATCCATTTGAGTGCGTGAGAGTGAATACCTGGAGACCGATCATAGTAAATCATTAAATCAGTTTCCAGGTTTTCACTCTTACGCACTCCTTTATGTAAAAGTTATGACACATATAGCAACATTACATGATCAAGACATTAATCACCCAGAGATATCGAATGGGCTGTCGAAGGAAACTATTAAGGATATTAAAAAGAATACTACCAATTTTTGATGTAAAACATCTGTATAAGTTTTGAAAAGGCAATCTTTTTTATGATGAAGCGACGATTTGAAAAAAAAGAAAGCTTAACAATTATTTTCATTTGTCAAATTTAATTAATATTTGGTCACCAAGTCTTGGAGACTAACTTTATTACAGATTTCTAGAATTACTCTCTAGAAAAAATGCGTAGCTCTCTGATCTATAATAAAAAGCATCTAACGATTTTAAATTTCTATACAATTCAGATAACACATTCTGAATTTATTATTGCATAACTTATGTCAATAAGTATGAATTTAATAATTCGTAATGAGCCATGACCGATAATAACATTGACTGTTATTAATGTAAGAATATAATGTATAAAGGATATAAATAGTTCTTTGAATGAATCGGTTTCATGAGGTCAAGTAAATGATAGCAAACCCTTTAAATCTTGGAGTAGTCTACAAACACACAGTAATTTTTGTGCTAGCACTAATCAATTTTTTTTATTAAAAAAGTATGCCGGATCCGTGATTGTTGCCACACATTAGAGTTGGGGTATTTAGGGTTAGGTAATTAAATAATTAAGTTATTATAAAAATGTTCGCTATGCAACATCGTTTTGAAAACGTTTGTTATGCAACAACGGTTTGAAGATGCCTATTACACGATAGTGATTTGCAATTTTTTTTTATAAAAAAAAATTTGGTTATTAAATTAAATAAATTAAAAAAAAGTTAAATATTAATAAGTATTTACGAGTAAAGTAATTGAAATCGAGGTTTATAAATATTAAACATTTTACGTAGTAACGGGAAAGATACTAATCGATGTTTGAGACCTAAGAACATAAGAAGCCTGGGTTACCAACTACAATGTGTACATTATTGGATGAATGATGAAAAAAATTTCTGTTATGTGTCATATATCCAATAGTTTATGTGAACGTATGAAGTTTGTATGGAATGTTAATGTCGAATAAAATTTATTTATTTGACAATAAATTAGTGGTATGTGAATGATCCAGAAAAAAGCAAGGGTTATGCTGATCGATAATGTCAAACTTTAATTGATAAATTACATGTTCCTTGTAATTAGTGGTCAAGAAATAAGCAAAGGTTATGGTGATCGATAATGTCAAACTTTAATTGGTAAATTATGTGTTCCATGTAATTATCGTGATTCGGACTGATCCAGAAAAAAGCAAGTGTTACACATGTTTGTATTTTAATATAGTAGATTATATAAGTGATTATTCAAATTTTTACTGTCAATAAAATTTGAACACCCAACCTACCACTTAAGAGGTTAACAACCGAACCACTTTACTAGGTCATTACACCTTTTTTTTTTTGTATATTAACAAAAAATATTTAATTATATATAAAAAAAATTTTAATTTTAATTTTTTAAAAAAATAACTGAAATGGAGAAAGACAACTCTTTTCACTGATCATTCAAACACAAATTCAGCAAAAAGCAAAAATTAAGTTTATACAAAAACAGCTATCTGAATCACTCTAGTAGAACTAAACAAAAGAGAAGAGCATCCAGAAAAAGAAAGACAGCTAAAAAAAAAGTAGACTAACAAAAAAAACAAGAAAAACCAAAAAATTTTTTTCTTGAAAATATGGAAGAAAATTTTTGGAGAATTGGCACTAATCCTGTACTGCAGATCTGTTTTGATCATGAGAACACAAACACATAAACAAGCAAACAAACCAGTCACATGCAAGTTAAACAAAGCAAACACAAGCACAAATTAAAGCAAAAATAAATACACTAAGAGAACATGGTAACAGTTTAATAACAACATATATTAAAAGAGCATACTGGGATATTAATAGTGTATACAATAGGGTATTTCTTAATCAAGTAGGCAAAACATATATTACATCTAATAGGAAAAACAGAATCATTGTCATGCTAACAGAACAGAATCCAAAGGAGGTTGCACTACTGAGATTAACAAGAGAGTTAATAGAAAAAGCAGAGAAAGAGTAGCCAGCAAAAAAGTTAAGCATAGTAGAACAAAGTAATTATACAATAATAATAGAACCAGCCTTAGAATGAACAGACAACATATCAGAAGAGCAACTCCAATCAACAAAAATAGAATTAATTCAGGAGACTAGACAAAAGCCAATAGTAGAAGTAGTTATAGAAGAAGGCAAGTAGCACAAGAAAAAAATACAAAAAATTAGCTCAGCAGTGCAACAAGAAAAAATTGTAAAGAAAATAAATACAGACACAAAGTGGAAAGAATCAAAACATAGCATAACAACAGAAAAGATAGAAGCACAATATGAAATAAAACAAGAAATTGAGAAAGAAATCAACATAGTAGGAGAATTACTAGAAGAGAGCATGTAGGCACCAAATAAAAAAGATTGCAATCAACATAACAGTCTACTTGTCAACATAATGTGCCAAGAACAACAAAAAAAAAACATATAAAATTCATTAAGTGGTCACTAAAGAACAATAAATATGTTAAAGTCATTAATGAATTCTTCAAAAGAGGTAACTTGTGGATAGAGGTAGATTTCAACTGTAAACATAGTAGAAATGAAGCAATTCAAAGAATCAGCAGAAAAGAAGATGATTGGTATAAACTAATATCAGAAGAGCAGGGAGGCATAAAAGGAAAACAAAGATTATACAAGAAAGAATACCATAAAAGAAGAAATAACATAATAAAAAATAAAGAAAAGATATATAACAAGGAAGAAAACAAGATGGAGAATGACTTAAATGACTACAAGTTAGATGAGAAGTCTAGTGACAAAGCATATATAATAATATAGGACTTGCTAACAGATATCAATAAAAGGGAGTTAGAATATATCTGCAGAAGATTCAAGAAAGCCCAAATAATAAGAATCAAAAGATCAAAATACAAAGCACTCGCAATTATGCAGATCAAAGAAGCCAAAAAAAAAAGACATTCTATGGGCTATACCAGTTAACAATAATAAACTAGTAAGAATAACTAGAGGGGAAGAAAACCATAAAGCAAAAGAAAGTTAGAGGAAATATATAGCAAAGTTAACTGAATTACCCAGAAATGTCTAAGAAGTCTTACTACTATAATGTTTAAGAAGCAAAGATGTTAAGTCAGTTTACATTTCTTCAAATAGGAATAGAAACCAAAAAAAGAACAGTAATAGTTATGTTTGCAATAGAAAAAGACATGAATACACTCAAACGAAGCCAATTTTATACAATAACTTTAAAGTGTACTGGGTTAATGATGAAAAAATAAAAACAAGGAAAAGAGAAAGTCTTAAAATTAAGAAAGAAAGAAGTTAAGACAGATTTAGCCAAACCTCAGATGCAGAAGAGAACAAAAGCAACAGAGAAAGACAAAGTGATAGGTCTCACTTGAACAGAAATAGGTACAGAAATAGTGTAGGTCATAAAGATACCTCACTAAAAGAAAAAAACAAATTCCAAAAGCAATACAAAAGAAATCAAGTAAGAGACACAGGTACAAGAAATGGAAAAAAAGAATCTCGAAAGAGAAACAGAAGAATTCAAGACACAAAGGCAAAAAAATGAGCCAGATATAAAGAACTTTTAGAGCAAATCTGGAAGAGACTAAAAAGACTAAAGAAAACAAGAGATATAGCTAGAGAGGGCCTAGCTAATCACTCCTAAAGGCACCCTAGTTGAACTCACAAACATGAATAAGGAGATTAAAAACTTCTTGTGCAGTAAGAGAAAAGCTT